CGATTGATTTGTGCTGTTTCTCACTAACGGCGCCATCTGGTGGAAGACGGTTGCATAACATTTATGACGCAGTAATGTCCCGGCTTCAGTTAAAACAAAGTGACAGCAGTGACAGAGCTCGTTGACTAGTCTTGCACATCGTTAGTTAAGTGAGACATTTTGAGCCGTGTGGTTTGGCGAGCGTGTCCTTGCTGCACACAGGAAACCCTGCTGCCTGACCTGTCTGACTGTGTTGTATTAACTCAGACCAGGAAGCTGCAGCCTCCTGCCTCCATCACAGATGCCTGTGTGCTTCTGAACTTGGGAGACTCGGTCACAACCGACCACATCTCACCTGCGGGGAACATTGCCAGGAACAGTCCCGCAGCACGCTACCTGACCAGCAGGGGGTGAGTCAGCGCACACGTGTTACTGAATAATAATGACGTCGCAGACAGTTTTCACATGGCTTCATCTCTTGATGAAAATGACACCTGATGATGTGAAACATCAACATTTTCTGCTGCTACTCTTTTGGCAGTTTGAACTCCCGAGACTACAACTCGTACGGCTCTCGGCGAGGTAACGACGCCGTTATGGCCAGAGGGACGTTCGCCAACATCCGTCTCTTCAATAAGTTTCTCAACAAGCAGGCGCCACAAACCGTCCACCTGCCGACAGGAGAAACGGTAGGACCTCTTCACCTCTGAGCTGCTGGAAGCCTCGCGCTGGATCGTTGTGCAACACTTATTTATCAGAAGACACAGCTGAAATATCAGAGCCAGCACAGTCAGGGCTGCATGCTGCCCTCTGATGGACAAACTGTGCAACTTCTCAACAGAAGTCAGACACAAGCTGTTTAAACTCTGATGTTAAATTATATTTAATTTATGCCTCGATCACATTTTCTTTGTTTAAATTACAAACCAGCTAATATTATTATAGCTGTATACACATGACCTTCAGTGCATCTAAAGAAGTGTGGAGAGCAGATCATGAAGTTTTCTGATGATCTTGAGTCAATGTTGTGATAATAATAAACTGAAGCCTGCGGACACGAGTTTACGAGTTCTGAGGTTGCATAGTTTGTCCACCAGAGGGCAGCAACCCTAACAGTAACCTGCAGCTGTTCCAGGAACACCAACACTCAGCTGGTGTGAGCATAAATAACTGCACATAGCAAATGTTAGACACATCTATATGTTTCCCATATTTATATCAACGGTTATGCCTGAAAGAGAAAATATATTTCAGAACATCAGAGCTTTAAATCACCAACGACTGTGCCGTGACTCTTTATCTCGATAATATGTGAGCTATGAAGAAGTGTGCATCAGGAACTACAAACTGCATGTAGATTCATTTACATGAAACACTATTACAGTAACTCTAACGGTGCTCTTGGGTTTGTTCTTGAAAATCAAGTTGTGAAATAAAACGCAGCAGTAATAAAAAGTAACGGTCAAAGCTTCCTGACTCTGTGTCTGTAAGGATGCAGCCAGGAGGCCATTCTGCGTTTAACAGGGAGAAACC